ATATATATAAAAACACAGCACTCAATACTGAGCTCACAGGCTTTTGCAAATAGATGGGGTTTTTTTCCTTAATCAGTCATATGGTTTCTTCCACACTTTCAATTTTGAAGAACATAATGACATAATTAAAGGTATCTCATACAAGGTCTGTAGTGTTGGAGGACTTCTGTCATTTTTTGGCAGCGTTTCAGTCCTGTATTACACTTAACTGCTAAGAATGTGTTTGTGTGTTTTTATAATAGCTTTATATTGTGTGTAACGTGTGAATGGGTGGTAATCAGCTATTAAAATCCTTTCATGAATCTCCTTTACTGATGTTAGTTGAACTATTAAACTGTGTGGAACCTGTTCAGCTCTTAACTGAGAACATCAGTTGCTGAGAGGACTAAGAGCACTTGTTTGTGGTGGTGTGTAGCACTGCCTTGCTTTGCTTTTATGATACCATTTGACATTTGATTCTTTTGGGTTTTTTTTTTCAAAGCTAAATCAGATCTTTCAAGAGAAAGGGTTGTGAAAAGCATTTTGGCTGTGTATCTTACTAAGTAATGAATACCTCATACTCTTTTCAGATAAAGAGGGAAAATAATGATGCAAATAATTGTGAGCAGAATGTAACTTACTACTTTCATTTGCAAATTATGTGCAGTGTGAAGCTCACAATACGTAACATAAGGTTGTGTAGTCATTTTATCGTCACCCCTGCTATCCCAGGTAATATAATGAGAGGCCAGTGGATGGTGTCTACAGAGATAAAGAATAAAAATAATACTTGTGGTTTCTTGTGTGTAAGATTCTTTAGATAATATCATAAAATTGAACTAATAGGGAAAGTGGGAGAAGTTTAGGATGGATAGTTTGTGTTTGAAAGGGCTTAATGACTTTTCAAGTTGTTAAAGGTACAGGAAGTATTTTGAGAACATTAGATGCAGGTTTGATGTCATTCTGCAACTTTTTTTTGTTTAGATGTGCCATTATCTGTGACACTGATACTTCTGATTTTGCTTTATAAAATCCAGTTTGAGGACTCTTTTTATGTTTATATGGAATAAAATAAAATTGACAACAAACTTTGAGCATGTTCTATTAATAATTTGGTTTTACTATAGATTCTGCAGCTGAGGATGTGTACCTTGTATGTGGAATGCCCTTTTTGGAGAGCATAAAAGGCGCAGGACACTTTCTTTGGTGTCACACGATTCCTTTTTTTTAATGGCTACTTGAGACAATTTACTAAGCACGAGGCTTGTGTTGTAACATCAGACTTCTTGATAGCAGAAGATTGGTACATAGAGACAGCTAACTGCCATGCCAGTGTGGAGTTCCCTAATAAATGAGAAATGATCAAAAATCATGGTAGTATCTTATAGCCAAACTAGAGGGGGTAATTGCACAGTGTTAGCATTTATACTGTTTGTGCAAAACCTCCATTTCTAGCTGAATGTTTAAGAAATCATCTTCTCTAGCAAATCTTTCTAAATATGGAGTCTCATTATCTGTTCTGACATGGAATAAAACACTAATTTGAGGACTTGTAATTAGAACATAACATAGTACTTGAACATAAGAGCTGTTTACATCCTGGTGTTTCTCAGTTGATTTGACTTAGCCAGGTGCTTTCTCTCTGCTTTTTTTTTTTTAAAGAAAAAGTACATAAAGTTATATGATGTTCAGGCTCTTACAGAACCACATTGCTCCTTCTGCATGTTAGTAGCACCTGAATCAAAGGCCATTAAACCTGAATTAAGACAGACAGTAAAACTAGGCTAAAATTAAACCAGATAAGGAGTTGATGCAGGATTTCAGGAAGTTTGTCTAAATTAGTATTAAAGTAAGAGTGGGAGTTATATTTCAAGAGGCGTAACTGGTGAGCAAACTGTTGGGGTCTGTGGAATGTTGGAGATCCTCAGTACTTCCTGGAGGTCACTGTAGCAGAAACTTGAATTATCTAGAAGGAAGTTCTGAAGTTTACCCTAAAAAGGGAGATGGAGTGCAGAATCTAACTGTAATCTTTTCCTCATTGCACTGTAGTATTCTTTCTCTTCTGTCAGAGTAAGCTGTGTATGCTGAAAATGTGTTTAGATGAGAGGGATGGTAGAAATAAGGATTTCCTAACATCTCTTTCTGACCTGGTAACACACTCTTAAACCAGAACTAGATTATCATGACACTGCAGGCTTGGTGGATACTAGTGTGTCAGAGACCTGGTGACTGACTGCTCAGGATCAGTCATGGCAGAATTCTCCCAAATTCTTTTGGGATAAAGATTGCCATAATTTTCACATCCAGTCACTAAGGGTTTCATGGGGCAGTCATTATTAGCATGATCAGAGATTGTGGTATCTGAGTTTCTGAAGTTCTCAGAAAAGTACTATGGGATCTGTGGATTAAAGAATGTATTCTCTGCTGACATCGTAAAGTGCAAGGTAGTGTGGTACAGGAGAGGAAGTCAGAAGTCCTCCAAAGCTTCAATATAGATTACTTGCGTTTTACCTGCAAGCTTGCTTTCTGGGGATGGTTGATTCTTATATATTTTGAAGTAGGTCTCTAGATATTGAAGAACTTCTAACTTTCTGCAGATTATTTTCTTCCCTTAGCTCATATGTCTTGTAAGTGGAAACATTTTCAAAGATGCATTGATCTTGATTTTTAACTTAAAATTGCATGTAAACACATGAATGTCTTTTAGGGATGGTAAAAATGGAGATCTTGTTTTACAAAGGACTAAATATAACTTATGAAGAGAATCCTGTGAGAAGTTTTCTTGGATCGAAATGGGATTTGCTGCCTTGTTTCCTTTGGCAGATGGTCTGCATTCCCCTGTTGTCACTTTTGCCATGCTTTACAAGAGTACAGAAGTAGTACAATAGATGCAAAGCTAGTGAGACCGGTCAGTTCTTATTTATGAAGTATTAGCTTTTCTTCATGCCACAATAGAACTGGGAAGAGAATAGGATTAATATGGTTGTTGTTTTTTCAGCATGAAGTAGTTTCTGCAGAAAATGACAAAATTGTCAGGGCTGCAAAGGTATGTGAACTTCTCTGCCTTCATATGGAGAGCCTTTAATTTTGATGAAGTAGTTCTTTGAAAGACACAACACCCCACCAAAAATGCCAGCAGAGGTCTAAGTTCACACTTCCTTCGTGTCACTTACTACTTTTTTGCCTCCATTATAATTGTTGACTTCTGTACATGTGCATGCTTTATTACTTGTTTTATAAAGAAACAACACAGGAAAGGGAGAACAAAGCTTACATGGAGTGGTGGTTTTATAAATAAGACTTTTCTTCTCTGTTTTCCAGATTCAATATTGCATAAACATGGGTGCATTTTTGGATAAACCAAAAACTGAAAAACATAATGCTCATGGTGCAGGGAATGGCTTGCGTTATGGCCTCAGCAGTATGCAGGGATGGAGAGTGGAAATGGAAGATGCTCACACAGCTGTTGTAGGTATTCCCCATGGCTTAGAGGACTGGTCCTTTTTTGCTGTCTATGATGGTCACGCAGGATCTCGCGTTGCAAATTATTGCTCCACGCACTTACTAGAACATATCACTAACAACGAAGACTTTAGGGCGACAGAAAAACCTGGATCTGCTCTTGAACCTTCAGTGGAAAATGTCAAGAGTGGAATCAGAACTGGCTTTTTGAAAATTGATGAGTATATGCGCAATTTCTCAGACCTCAGAAATGGGATGGACAGAAGTGGCTCAACAGCAGTGGGAGTTATGATTTCACCTGAGCATGTATACTTTATCAATTGTGGTGATTCACGTGCGGTTCTCTATAGGAATGGACAAGTCTGTTTTTCAACACAGGATCACAAACCTTGCAACCCAAGGGAGAAGGAGCGAATCCAGAATGCAGGAGGCAGTGTAATGATTCAGCGTGTTAATGGTTCATTGGCAGTTTCTCGAGCTCTGGGGGACTATGACTACAAATGTGTTGACGGTAAAGGCCCAACAGAACAACTTGTTTCTCCAGAGCCTGAGGTTTGTGAAATTTTAAGGGCAGAAGAAGATGAGTTTATCATCTTGGCTTGTGATGGAATCTGGGATGTAATGAGCAATGAAGAGCTCTGTGAATTTGTTAAGTCTAGACTTGAAGTATCAGATGACCTGGAAAAAGTGTGCAATTGGGTAGTGGACACTTGTTTACATAAGGTATGTAACTGTTTTCTCCAAGCAGCTGTTCTAAAATGATCTTCTGTTTAGATGGGTACATTGTTAACAGCAGTTCCTGGCCTACTCTTCCCCTTTTCCCTCTTCCTTCCCTCAAACTTCAAATACTCATTTGACTATATATCCTTGCTGAAGAATATACAGCCTTATCCTTTGTGCCTGGAGAGGTGATAGCAATTGCAAAAATAAAGGTTTATTATTTTCTCAAATAATGCTTGCATAGAGTTTCAGCTCTAAACTTTGTTTCCAAATACAATTTTTTTAAAAATTAATAAATTCTGTGCAAGGTATTTTGGTTTTTTGTTGTTGTTTCAAGTTGGGCAGAGTTCATATCCTTTGCATAAACCCAACGTTTGCACCATCTCTTCTTCAAGGTATGGTTTGTCTAACATCTGAACTGGTGTCCTCAACTTATTGTTGTAGCTTAGATGGAGAAGCACTACTTTTACATTTGAGCTTGCTTGTGCTCCTCAAATTTAGAGTTTGTTCAGAGCAACTACAGGACAGTCTACAAATGTTTCATAGGTATACCATTTCCAGCATTCCCTGAAAAGTGCAACTCCTACTAGGGCAAATAGAGTTCCTTCATTAGGCCATAGACCAAACCTCCAATTTTGAGGAAAATACTAAAATTCAGAATCCTAACAATAAAGAATTTATCTTTTTTCCAGAAACAGGGTTGTATTCCAGCAGGTACCATATGTTGAATGATTGGTTTAAATGCTGTGGCTTTTCTGACCAAGCACTTGACCAGCCTTCTTAAAGAATAGTCACACTAGTATACTTTTCAGTAAAATTGAGCCCTGACCTTGTGTTTACTTTATCAAGTCAGATCCTGGATCTCTGCGGTTTGTAACGAAATTAGAATGTTGTCCTCTGTCTTCAGGGTGTGAGTTGTATCATATGATATTAATTGCTGTATAAGATAGGTGTCACCATGTGCTTGGTATTAAAGGGAACATAGAATAACTCCTGAGTACTTCTGAAGGAGTTTAATCTGATGTCAGATTCCTAGTTAATTTTGTCAGGAGAAGGAGGAGTTGTGATAGATGATAGGAACTATCCAGTAGGTTGGGTTTACACAGAAACAATATGTAGTGACTAATGGCACTTAATTTTTTTTTTTTTGGTAGAAATTTAAGATCTTTATTTCAAACCAGGAGTTTAAATTATGGTTCTACTGGATCTGCTTGTAAGAGGCTTAGACAGTGTTTTTAAATTTGACCATGGATGATAATTTTGAAAACTAAATATGAGCGGGAAGGTGATATCAGAGCTTACTAGTGAAGAACTGGCATTAAAGTTATTATCTGAAAAAGCTGTTGGCTGATGTTCCTGAGCACGATAGTCTGTAAGGTCAGCTTGGCCATACAAAATTAATTCATATTTTCCATTTTTTTTATTTAAGGTGCGCTGTATGCCATGGGTGCATTCTGATAAACAGATTTGTAGTTAATGTAATGTCTTACATGAATGGTCTCAATTAGTAGCTGGAGCTAGCTACTCTAGTAGTCTAGGTTAAGTATTCTGCATTTCATTTTGCAACATGAGTTGTTTTTTAATTAAGGTAACATTAAATGACTGTCTAATTTCTGAACTGTTTTCTTGATACTATTTTTAAATGGTTGACATGTAAATAGGTCCATTAAATATTTTAAACTTCAAGGCTAAGAATGTACAATAAAAATCAGTAAAATTAATTCTAGCGAGCAGTTTAGTTGGGAAACTTAGAGGTTCTTATTAATCAAAATACAGTTTTATTGCAAGGTTTCTTTTTTCCAGGTATAGCTTTAGTACTGTATTTGGAACAAGTAATAATGTGACTAGAATAGAAAAATGAAAAGTAAGACTAAAGATCCTAACTATCTTTTTTTCTTCGTCATATAGGGGAGTCGTGATAACATGAGTATTGTACTAGTTTGTTTTTCAAATGCTCCTAAGGTCTCAGATGAGGCGGTGAAAAAAGATGCAGAGCTGGATAAGTACTTGGAATCACGGGTTGAAGGTAAGAAATCAGTTTGGTTCATTAGAAATGCTGTTGTAACCTTCTTGAGCATGAAAACAAAAAACCTGAAAGCCATGATGCCACTGTATGTTGGGTCAAATTCAGGCCTGGTTACAACTCTGAATTTTTGTGTGTCAGGAAAAATGTTTTAAACCATGTGGCTAGTTTATTCTGGTATTCCACAAGCATTTTCTTAATGTGAGCTGTAGGTTTTTACTTCTATCTTTACAGGTCAAAATGCAACCAATGACCTTGCAGTGTGTTATATCAGCTAAGTAAATTGTGGTAATTTTAATGATATTTTAGCAAGCAAGACATTAACAGGAATACTTGGGATGCTTGTTTCCTTTTTTGTGAAAGTGACAAAAAGAAAAAGTTGTATCAGGTTTTTGTGAAGGGACAATTATCCAGGCTTTTATAACCACTTCTATTTAATGCAGCTGTAAGTTCACTTTCATACCAACAACTTTTTAAAATGCACTTTTGTGAAAATTCAGAGTGTAAATTATGAAAATACCTATGAATACAAGAGCCTTAAAGCATCCATTTGGATTCTGAACACTTACCAGCTGTGCGTGTATATGTGAATAAAAACCACATAATCATCTAGAATTTTCATGGAGTACTAAACTTAATTCCTAACCAGTTTCATTTAGTCACTGATTTTTGTATCTTTGCTTATCCAAAAGGTCGAATGCAACTTCTTTCCTTAAGCAGAAATAGTGACAGGAAAGTCAGCTTGACTAAGAATGAAAGACTTGCCCTTGTATATTTATTGATTTTTGCAGCATTCTTAATGTCAGAAGAACTGACATTTAGAAGCAACAGTTTGAAAGCCTGCTTCAACCTAATGACTTTCATCACTGGTTAAGGCTCTTCTAAGGTCTGACCACAGCTGTATGTAGTGGCCTCCTGGTCTCTTCAGTTGTCTTAATTATTTTTTTAATGATCCAGGTGTAGCTCGGTTTTGGTGGAACTGACTAAGGTTCAGGACTGATAGTGAAAATTTTGCCTTTTTTTTATAATACCGTTCTTACGTTGGCACAAGTCTTTGCAGAAGGAACCCAGGCATGAAAATAACTGAGTTCTTGGAACAGTTTGTCTTGCTGTTACAAGTGTTGCTAGGATAATACTGCGAAGTAGCATCGTTGGAGAGAAGCAGTCATCAGGTTTTGAAAGCCTTGTTGTTATGATTCTTTAAACTTCTGTAATCTCATCAGAAAAGTACTGAAGTGCTGTCACCCGCTTACAGTGATGCAGTTTAACAACACATTTGTTGGAGGTATCGGTTATAGCAACAGTATTCAAGGAAGAAAAAGGTTTACTGGAGAGAAAGCTTACTGAGATAACTTGTGCTCTTTCTTGACTGGACTAGAATACTCTGGTCACCAGATCCAAGCTAAACTCTTCTTCATGAAGAGATGGTCCCTTCATAGATGGATAATGAGTCGTGTAGCCTTCTTAGATGGATTTGTTGCAAGTGCTGCAAAAAGTGGTTTAGCTTTATACTATAGTATTGCTGTCCTGATGGTACTTTTCTGTGTTCACACTGAAAAATGTGATATTGGCAGTCTACAGGACTGTTTAGCAGAGTTCCATGAAAGTAATTTTAAAATTGGCTGCCAGGGTGTTTGGGACTTTGCAGGTCAGAACCAGTGTGAAGCGACCATCTTGAGACTGTAACAAGGTCTCAATGACATAAATCACAGCTCTGGCCACTGACTACCTGAGCTTGAGCATTTTTTTTTATGAAAGGTGTGACTTCTCAACATGGACCCAGAAACTTTCCAGGCACCCAAGCATGGTGTGTATAGTCTGTATAGGTAAAATACTTGATTTCCTTCCTTATGACTATTTGATGAGAATTAGTAATACGGGACTCCAGCACAATCGCATATGAGATAAATGCCACTTCTGGTTTTTGTGTTGGTTTTAGTTTATTTGATTATCTGAGACACCCACTGGCTTTTTAATGTGCTGTAATGGATACTGAAAGGAGTGATTGGACATACTTTCATTAGGAAGTAGTTCATATCCAGATAAGTAGCATTAGATATAAATGAGAAGTAATGTATAGATTTGAGGACATCAAGAATCTTGTGAGTGTACAACAACGAAAATAGCACAGCTAACCATTCATAACTTAACGCTAATTCAATGTAAAATGCAAGTGCAATGGAAATCCACATGCTGCCACTGGAACGTTATTGCTGTGGACAACTGTTTTGCCAATTCAATATCAAAAATTCTCAAACATTTTAATGATAGAAATGACACTGTAGACATTTTTATCATTTAATTTTTCATTTGTGTGGAACAGCTGTGAACATCACTTGTTCTTTGTTTAGATATCTTTTTTTAATTACACTCCGTCTTAAGCAAATGAGGTAAATGTAGACATTTTTTCGTGTTTGCGTCAGTGTCCCAGTAATCTAGATAATTGATGTAACAAACCTTAATTTTTAAATATATATAAGAAGGCCTTCAAGCTACGATACAAGTTACGGCTGAATACGCTGGTGATGTGTGTGATGCCTTTTCCTCTTCTTTAAATGGGACCTAAACTGAAATGGCTTGCATATTTGTAGTTTCTGTTGAGATTAAAGAGAGCTAATGGTCACTTCAAATGCTAACTCTAGGCACGTTTCTCAGAACTTGGCTTACATCCCAGGCTTCCTAGATGACACTAGTTAAGATAAATACCTATTATCTGCCTATGAGTAGAGTACATGAGCTGTTAATAGGTTCTGGGAGAGAGCCAGGAGCAGTTACCTTCACTGACAGCAGTCAGGTGTGCACTGAGTGGATATGAGTTAGTATTCCCAGCTCTTTGGTGGCTCCTCTCTCTATTAGCAAATAGGTGAAAAATGTATGGAAATGCAGTGTATTTTATTGCTTTCATAAGTGAATGTTAAGAAGCTTAATAGAAAAGCTGTCAACTTCAGATCAGAGTGATCGGATTAACTGAGAATGGTGTAGGAAGCACTGTCTGCTAGTAACAATGCAGTGTTGTAGTCTAAGTTACTACTTTAACCTATCAAAATAACTGCTTGGCAGAAGTGTATTTTAGCTATATTGTCATATTTAACAAGTAGTACACACACCAAAAACAAGTGGAGAGTTTGTAGTCTGAGCTTATGCAGAGCCATTTCGAATGTAACTCAAAATTATTGTTAAGCTTAAGTGCTCCAGAGAAATTAGTTGCTTCAAAGCTTGGACTTCTGTTGCTTCAGCTCTTCTAGATTTTCCCCCCCTGCATGAGTTCTGTATCATTCTGTGTTCTGCTAATTGGACAGAGTGCAAGGCCTTTGAATGTCAAGAGTTTAGCAAGGAATGAGAGTAGCATATCTATGATCTCAAGCGTTGGAGTAGTAAGGAAAAGTTTTGGAATATGGGAACATCTTTTTGATCAGAAAAGGACAACTGCCATAATCAGTTTTGCACTAGTCTTTAGACCAAGTAGTCTGGAAAACAGTGCATAGAAGAGCTGTGCTTGAGAGATTTAAACTGCCTTTAAGTCTGAAAACTTAAAGCCTGGTAGATAAGTTATGATGTTAATAATATGGATTTGATAATCTCTTCTAGTTATTTTCAAAAGACAGAAGTTGTATGTCTTTAGATGTGTTCTAAATATAGTTTATACCTTAGGGTTGTTGTCTTCAGGGAAGTATATTCATTATCATTCATTTGTAGTTCTGATGTGTTTTGAGGATCTGAATGTGGTAAGCTAGGCAGCTAAGTCCAAGAATCTGTGTTCAGTTACAGCAAGTGATGGTGTATAGTGAGCATCTGTAGTAGATTTACTAATGTTTAAAATACCAGACTAGATGATGACTGTTCCTTTCAAAAGCCAAATAATGGATTTTGTTCATGATAAATGTTTCTTTCTCTATTAAAGAATTAACAGCTCACAAGTTATGTACAGTTGATTGATAGCCAATAACAATTATCTTTATACCTCTAGTAAAAACATGCTGAAACAAATCAGCTTGTCTTAGAACTACTAAGCCCCAAAGATGGAGATGTTGTCAAGACGACAAGCTATGAGTTCTGTTAGATACTCTCATCTTTCAGTAAGTGACTAATTTAAATCAGGGCAACTTTGGCACTTAATATAAAATCCTTTGGGACTTCCTAAAGCAACTTTAGTTTGATCAATGATATTTGTTCTTACTGAAAGTACATTGTTCAATACAGAATATTTTTCTGTTCTCTTGTTGACATTAAAAATAACAGTTTTTTTCGCTGCTATGCTTGGGCATTTTAAACTTTGGCTTGGAGAGAAAGGTGGTGTTTGAGGCATGGTGTTTAATTAAACAACTCTGTGTTCAAAAGCAGTTTAATACTTACAGATATAACACTTGTAGTCTGGCTTTGTACATTCCAAAGTAGAATGCTGAGGTCCTGCGTATTTGTACAATGAGTTAATAGTTCCGTAAGATCTTTCCTGAGTTACTAAAATAAGTTACTGTTTTCATACCAAAACAGAGTTTTTTGTTTTAACAGAGGTGGCGTGGGTTTCTTTGTTTTTTAAAAACAAACTCAGCAAGTGATAGTTTGCAGAGATTTCTAGTGGAACAACTGTATACCAAAGCTCTTCTGCTAGCTTGGGTCTTGAGGTTGACAGAATGTGTGTAACTGCATTCCAAAACTACCCATTCAAGAGTATTCTGAAATACTTAGGAGATTATAGTTGACAGCTTGTGATCAAGTCATTTATGTCGGTGAGCACAGCCGTGCTTCTGGTTTGAGTCACTTAATAGTTTAATTGCCAAAGTAATGCAGATGTGTTGGACAGTAGTTAAGATATGCTAGGTCAGGCTTTTCTTGCTGCCACTTTCAAATGCTACTTTCTGTTCTTTTTTTTTAAGATCTGAAGTTTGGTCATGGGAAGAGAAAACTAGGCACAGAAGTCAGTTCAGTTCTCTGATACACTTTCAGATAAACTGAAGCATATCAGACATGCAGATTTAAAACCAAACAACCAACCCCAAATCGTAAATAGGGACATGTGTTCCATGTAGATTTAAATAGTCTTAAAAGTAGTTGAATACTCAGTTAATACAGTGAGTTGGATAGTGCATTTTACATATTTGGAATATATACTGTATTTAAAACTATTTTGTCATAATCCTATAGCTGGAGATCAGAGGAGATGCTGGAACATAGAAAACTTCTAATGCTGTCTGGTTGGGGACTTGCATTATGTAAAATTGAAATAATTTTTATTCTGAATTTTTGAAATGCCTATCTATGCATTAAGTCTTAGGCTTTTGGTGAAAAATATTTTAGGAGTAAAGTAGTAGACTAGTGGACTGTCATGGATTTGCATATGATAATATCAGGAAATTTTTCTTTTAATCATCTGAATTACATTAGCAATGCAGGTGTAAAAATTCTGCAATTATATTTTGCACATTCAAGAGAAAAAATTCATTGCAGGGTTATGCTTAGCATTGTAGGGATGAAGGCAAAAACCTTGTAAATGCCTATAAATTTGTGAAAACACTTAGTTTCTTTCTCTAGTGGCCTTTGTCAAACAAATCCACAGTGTGTATCTGCTAACTGATGTGTAATGAAAAAAGGTCATGCTTGGTCGTTGGCTTTATTCTCGGATTTTCTATTAGGAAGTTGTTGTTTTTTAAGAAAGGAGAAATGTTCTACATGAAAGTATTCACCCTAATATCAGGCAGAGAAAAAGGAGATAGTTCCACCAGAATTCCTGATTTCCTTCTAGAAATGGAGAGAAGATGCTGGTGGTTCAATTTAGCACTCCCTGAGAAGTGGTTACACAGTGAAAGTTTCCAGTGCCAAGCAATGTACAGCAATCCTTAGTTGTGATTGCTTTAATTCTTTTTTAAGAAGATACAAAGACCTTATGCTTGCATTAATACTTAGTAATTGCCTATTTCTATAGCCTTTCTTCTTATTTCTTGCTATTTGTCTACTTTTCGTGTGTATAGAACCAGATGTGCTCGTGGTATAAAAAGCAGTATATGCGTAAGACACACTTCCTTTCAGATGTGACCAAGCAAAATTATCTTGTGGTGATGCAGTCTACTTCTAACTAGGTAGATCTGCACAAAAAGAGAACTTGTGGCTGATTTGTGTGAACGTGTATGGAAGAAGTGATCAAAGTCTTAAGATTTTCAGCTGTCACTTCCTTTGCCAGCCATGATTCATTCTTAATGGATGGGTGTATGATAATATACATAAGTTCCATGGAAGACTGTTTAATCACTTCTAGTAATAGTATATCCAGCTTATTCATTGCAGAGATTATATGGTGCTGATTTAAAATTGGGGCTTAGAAGCGTAGTGCCTTATTTGTTACAGGATGGTAAAACTATTCTAAAAGTAGAATTGCAGGGGGCGAGGGGGATTTCCTGCAGATCTCCCTGACACAGAGTAAGCAAGTACTTTGGAAGCACTTTATTGGTTTAACTAGTCCTGAGAGAAGCCTGCATATCACTTGCTTTCTAGATAGATGATAGACATCAAGAGAGGTTTAAGTACCAGGAAACTTGGGTTGCAGTCTTTAGAGTAGGTAGGTAACGTGCTTTTCCGCTAACTTCAGAAATTCAAATTGTAGCTGCTTCTAGCTTTATTTGCAGGTTCCAAATCAAGCATCCAGAATATAATCAATCGATTGTAAGAAATTTAGATGATTTGTTTATCTTTGGATAGTAGCCAGGGTACAGACTGACTGAAGTGGGTTTTTTTAGGATGATATTTGAGAGGATTCATTCTCCTTAATTCTTTTGTGACTCAAAGAATTTTTGTCTAGAACAATGTGTACAGGAAATGGCACTCCATTAATTTAGCTGATTTTTCAGAAGAAAAAAAAATCTTAATGTGACACGTATACAGCTACAGCTTATAGATAACTTGGTCAACCTTTTTCTGCCATGGTAGCAGTTGAATGACTAGAGGCTGAATGGAGGCAGGTAGTGTTATGCCTGTGTGAATGTATATGCAGCTATTACATGTTCACCTTACAGCAGCTTTGAATAAGAACATGTGAAGATTGATTTCAATTTAGGCAGTTCTGTTCCAAAGCAGAACAACTTAACAAGCACTGTACTTGTGTGATACTTCTACTTTGAAAATGGAATACCATATTATTAATCATTGTCAGTTCTATATTCTGTTTTGGCCACTTGAGTGATAGAAGCATATGAAATAGCCCATTTTATTGCGTGATGGTCTTGGTGTTTATGCACTGGAGAGTCAGGACTTTGCAAGTAATACCTTGTGTTCTCAGTGAAGTTTGGCTGTATTCCTGGGAAGCATTGGCCTTATGGCATGTAACTTCTGAGCATGTGTTGCAATGCAAAGGGAAGGTAACTGAACCAGACTTTTTCTGGAAGAGAACAGGCTGCTGTCTGCAGGGTATTTCATCCAGTTCACAGTCTACTTCCAAGTTTTTCTGAGAGAGAGAATGGCTAGAAGCATACTGGAAAGGCAGGCTATGGATATGAATAGCTGTGTTCCACCATGCAAAGGCTATTTACCTGAAATGTAAAGAATGTTTTCCTGTTTACATGTAAACTTCTTCATAATGTCTCTGTTAAGTGATAGTATCTATATTTTAGTGTCTTAAGGAATGGGTGGTATTAACTGAGTAATCTGAGGACTTCTTCTATTTTCAAATTAGAAATTATGGAAAAATCGGGTGAAGAAGGAATGCCTGATCTTGCTCATGTTATTCGTATTTTAACTGCGGAGAATATCCCTAATTTACCACCAGGAGGTGGTTTAGCTGGCAAGTGAGTACAGTACTGGAATTTCTTCAACTGTTTAATTAACTGAAACAAATACTTCTGTTTAATTGTTTTAAAGCTTTCTTATTGTAATGGCTATACTCAAAGAAAAAAATTGGGGGTTATATTTTAAGCTAGTTTACCTTTTGCACTACTTAAACATTTCTGTCACCATTCCCATTCTGGAATGGTAAGAGGAAACTGATCATATTCTGGTACATAACATACTAGTTTACTATTTCCATATGACCATTTTAAAAAATAAAAATTATTTATTCTTGGCTCTTTATTGCTTTACGTTTGTTACATATTGGTAGTTCTTAACTGGAGTATCAAAATACCAGGTCAATTTTCCTGATATTGTATTCCATCCACCACCTAGTGTCCATTATAAGTTTGGGTCAATGCTTGTTTGCTCAGCAAACATTCTTATAAGAAAATTGTTTTTCTTTGTTTAGTCTTAAACTGAATGTTAGATAAGCAAGAATATTGAACTAGGAGATGCATTTTAAAACTTAATTGGAATAAACATTCAGAAATTACATTGGTTTTCTGGGGAGGCTGATGGGTGATGTTCTAACAACCTATAATTAAGGATTTTAATGAACAGAATTTAGGGTTGCATAAACAATTGTTAATCTAGAATTCCCCAGACAGCAGGACCTGTTGTTGTTCCCTGGCATGGGTCACGTTGCTTCTGGAATCTTTGTATTTTTCAAAATATGAAGTCCTGTCCTCTGAGCATTTGTGTATACATCTATTTTCACTGTGTGTACTTATTCATGAGTACTGTTTGCCATGATTATTTGTTTTTCTAGGCTTAAAAGTACCTGTACATTCTGGGCCTTTTTCTCCACTTGTGTACATTCCAGGCATTCAGAGAGATTGTGGTGTGCCTATTCTTCTTAGTGCCTCCCAACTGCTGAATGACTTGGTGTGTTTTGTTGTTTTGCTCATTAATAACTGCAACATGTACTGCTTCAATATTTTGGAACCTTTGCATATAAATTCATTTTAATTTGTTGTGACCCAGGTTGCTTTTTTAATGGGCTTATGTTCAGAATTTGCCTTTTGAAGCCTTTCTCTCCGTTTTGACTTTTAAAGTCCTGCTTTACAGAAAACTGACTTCAGGAGGTGTACCTGCAGCTTCTTTTAAGAGAATAACACACAATATTGAGTAATGTTTTCCTGACCTTCAAACTTAGGACAAAGACAGGCAGTGATGTATTTAGTTAACTTTACTTGCAGGATTGAGCTCCTGAATCGAAGCTTTGAAAAAGTATGACTACACAACCCAGACCACATACCCTGTAACTTAAAACTTTTGTCCTAACAACAGAATAGTCTTTGTCTTGAGATCTTGATCCTGTAATGTTACCAGGACATGAAGAATTCACACTTTGTCCTTCTGTATGAACTCCCAAGACATGGCTGAAACAGGTTGCAGAAAGAGCTTGTCTGTGGCTGACATCCTTGGGTTTAACACCAGTTATAGTTGCTCCTGGTTTTTAATATATCTGAGCTGTAGAAACGCAATGTGATGTTACCTTGACTAGTGCAAACCTCAGGAACCTCTGAAGTAGCTCCACTTCTACTGGCATTGTATATTTCCTTCAAGCGTCTCGCTTGTGTAGAAGCCTGTACTGGCTCATTCTTTGAGGCAGGAGATCTAAAAGGGTCAACTCTGCTGTGGTCACTTGATGGTGGTGTTTTATCCTTTAAAATCTTACTCTTCAAAGACTAGCTTCTGGCTTGACTCAGGTCCCCCTGTAACTTCAAATGCTGCCAAAAGAACGGTCACTTGTTGCTGAAGAAAACAAAAGTTCTGAGCCACCCTGTCACTTGGGTGTCAGTGCTTCCACTCAACATCCTGCCCCTGAATTTTCCCTTCAAAGGAAAGTACAAAGAAAGGTGCTGTTCAAAGAAAAAGTGAATTGCAAAGATAGGAAAATTCCCAAGGGCTTGAGTTTGAAGTCTAATTTAAACCCTCTGCAATGGCTATCTGCTGCTTCTATGGCAGCCTTGCTTGGACTGTCCAGGTGTTTTCTGTTACACTGGTGTGAGTTGCTATTGCTCTCCATGGCACAGACATTTGGTCAAAATTGTGCCATTCCACCTTCACTAAATGTGGAACTAAATGGAGAGAACTCTTTCCTGTATCATCTGCGTAAAGGTTCGGTTTCATTTTGCTGGGAAAATCTTCGGTCAGTGCTGATGGATCCCATGCTAGCTCAGCTGTGCAACTCTTTCAGAATTCTTATAACATTGTCTTTAACTGATGTGCCCTTGGAGAAGTTGTGTTCTTCAGTGCGCTCTTCATATTGGACATAATTTTTGAAAGTGTCACTACCAATTTAATTCTGAACTCCGTTCCAGGAGCTCATTCAGACACCCCAAAACCTTTGTGTGTGAACAAGCACAAATTACATATACACCAGTGTCTTGAGGCTTCAGGTTGTCAGGTGTATCTGTTGTGCCTTCTGCTTGTCTTGATGTGGTGTGTCTAGGTAAATACCAATTTCATCATCAATATATATTGCCTCTGAACACATGATAGCAGGATGTCTTTTCAGTGTTGTACATTAGTGGCTATCCTGAGACTTAATGCACTGTCCCCTGCATTCACTAGTCCACGAACCATCTCTGAGTTCTGAGTATTTTAGTAGATACTGTTTTAAGTGCTGGACCATGACTAGAAAAATATATTCTGATGCTGGACAGCACATACTGAGATCACTTGATTTATTGCTTTGTCTCAGAAGTCTGCCTACTTCTAACATTCCATTTGAAAACCAAACTCTTCTGGTTTGAATGTGCTTTTGCTTCCATGGTATGAACATAACTCGTCATACTAGATCAGACCAAGGATTGTTCTAGATCTGTATCCTGTCCTCAGGATAGCTGAAAGTACATGTCTAGGGAAGAATATAAAACCAGGAAAACATGTAAAATACTTCCCCTATTGCTACTTTCTTTTCAGCTTACAGCTGAGGTGCTTCCTGATCTTCTGGTAGTTTATGTACTTAGTGACTTAGAATTTCTTTGCCCATGAAGTTTAATATGTTCAGAAGGAGCCTTATCAAACTTTTAGCATCCTCAGTATTCTGGGGCAGAAAAGGTTCTGTTGCATCAAAAGTCATCGCTGTGTATTTTTGAGACATTTGCTGCTGTTTTCATCTGATGCCCTTGTGCTCTTTGTCTGGAAGAGTCAACAGTTGGTGCTTATCCACATTCTGTAAGACATAACTTTTTTTGTAGATCTTGGCCAATTCCAGACTTGAGTCTTCATGTAGCAGTTCTTTTTTATTGAAGCTGTCAAGCACTTTTATCATATTTTTTATACTTGTCTGAACTTTTCCCAGGTCTTACTGTGATTTGAAGATGCAGGGACATAACCTTTTTCTTCTCAGAAGTCTGTTTATACTTTGGGGTTGGTTTCTTAATAAGTTTTTGTGCTTATTTTGCCTGCCTGTGAAGGTGTGGCCTTATATGACATTGCCAGAAAAAAAAATCTAGCTAATGGCATTTGGATTTTAATATCTACAGTGTGAATAGACACTAGACAACACACCTCAGAGGTTTTATACTCTGGGCACTGCACTTCAGAAGTTCATAGGCAAGTAGTAACCTGTGCATATGTAATAAAAACGGGAAAAACCCCAACTGTCTTCAAGTTTCACATCCAGAAATAAGGCAAAAAAAGCAACTAACTTGAAGAATTTTGTTATAATAAGCAAAACATAAATTTAAATGTTACTCTTGGCAAAATCTGAGTATGCAGCTGAAACTTCTAAAGGTGTAAAGGGGTAAACCGTGGGGAGGGTAAGGTAAGGAAATATTTTTGCCTTGCTTACTCTTTACAAATCCTGACTTACCGGTAAATCCCCAGACATCATATTGAAAGGAAGTAGAGACACTGAGAGTGGACTTAATCTCTTTAAGAGGCAGGATTAAAAAAACATCTTAAACCCTTTGAAGTTATTACTGTGCTCAAACTTCTTAAGTTCTCAATGTTTTGAAATACTTTTGTGCTTAATTTTTTTAAAACTTCTCTTTTTAGGCGTAATATTATTGAAGCTGTGTATAGTAGGCTGAATCCACACAGAGAGAATGAGGGGGTAAGTTCCCATTTTGATTGCTACACCTCTTTGTTAATGAGAATGTCAAAGTAGTGTTGTACATTAAGCAAAAGTTTACATCACTGCCAATAAAGTATTAGAAACACAAAATATTTATTGTAGCTTACTGTTCATTTTGACCTTGTTTTGGATGGATCTGATGCAGAACTTCATCCACAAAAAAAGACAGCAAACTAATACCCAATTCTGAAAGACTGCTTAAACATTTAATTGACTACTGCTTTTTTGGTCAAACCTGTGACTCAACAATGCAAGGTTTTTCTAAATTATAGTTTATTACTGTAAAAAAAATATGGTCAGCATATTCATTACTTAACTAGCTATTATGTCTACTGTTGAGATTTAGTAGAAGAGGGGGCAAACACAAGTGTGAAAGACCTTGGTACACTGAATGTAAAAGCTGATAAGACTAGTATTTTTTAGAGTTTACACTGTCTTTAAATATCCCATGTGCAGTAGTCTGAGGACGGTGTAAAGTGACTTTTAATTTACTTCAGTTCTGATTTCTAAAATGGCTTACATTCTTCTGCCCAGTTTCTAAACGTTGAATTTTAAATAGTGTGTTGAAATATGGTTTACTGTAACCTTAAACCTGCTTATTAGATTCTTCTTAATTTTAGTATAAAGACTAATAACTGGTGTTCATATCGGTTGCAGTTAAATTTTTAAAAAAACCAAACCATCACTGCTTGTACACATGTTGTCATTTCCTGTAGTTTGTGAACTAATCTGTGAAGGTACCATTCATCTTCTAGTAAATCCTTTGTCATGTTTTTTCTTTTCTGAGATGGCTACAAGGTCCTCAGCCAGGTAGTCATTGCAATGACTGGTGTTGGGGAGATGTCAACTTTTATTTTAAATACTTTGAAATGACCAATTGTGTGCCTTGAAATTGTGAAGATGCAGTCTCACCACAATTATTACTGTGTTTTTCCCACTGTCATCTTCTCTGGGCTGCCTGTATTTGGTTTATTCTTTTAAGTTAGACAGCTTGTATAGGTGGAAGAGACCACTATTTTATTAGAGTACAAATAGAGAAGAAATATCTAACTCTTTTATTGTTTAGGATCTGCTCCTCTTTTTAGTTCAACAATAATACAATATACACTTTTCATTTAACTTTCAACAAATTGTGCAATAGTACCCCAAAACAAGCTAGACAAAACTTTCCTCTTTTCAGCTTCTTTAGTCCTTCAGGAAACTCTGCACCTCTGTCAGCCTGCTACTGCTTTTCATATTTAGCCATAATTTTGTTCCTGCTTTTGGGGTAAAGTTATTGGTGAAAGTGGTTTATTTGAAGATTATGGCATAGGTTTTATAAGTTGGTTGGTCTTTTTAAGAAAAAAAAGTTTGTCAGTGGTAACTTTCTAGAAATATCAGATGCCATAGTTGCATTTATGATCCGTCTTTCCTAAGCCCAAATTTACTTTTCAGTTGCCATGCAAGCTTGCTGAAAGTCCTGACATATAGTACACCATCCTTTTGTGTATTGGCTACTTCTGTGAAAATCTTGTACATCATCCATTATAATTTAATAAAACAAGGTAACTGAATTAAATAAACAAGTTATTTATAAAAGAATATAGCCCTTCTTACAATTAATAGCTTTGACCCTTTATTGCCACTAGAATCCCTGGGCAGTTGTTTTGAGTCCTTTTAATTTGGCTTCTTTAATATGAAGCGTGAGCAGTGCGCTCAAGTCTGCCTTGTAAGCTGTACCTTCTGTTGACATTTAGTGCAAATCTCGATAATGATGTGTTTTAAATACACTGGATTAAATTGTAGTTTGATCGTGTGGTAAGATGTCATTTGCCAGTCAGTACCTTTTGCTTTCCATCCAAAGTGATTCTGATGCAGAACAGTTTGAGAGGAGGATGCACCATAGATGTGATTCCTGTTTGCACTTTCCTAGCAAGTAGGAATTGTTGTCTTACTGTCCTTGAAGTGGATGAATGTAGTGGGCCTCATCTCTGAGGTGATGAAAACATTACTTCCTTGCTAGCCTTACTCAGTTGCAGGTATATATGTGGTGATCTTAGTCTTTTCAACTGAATACTTTAGTGCATGAGTGGGGAAAAGGGAAGGAAGCTGTTCAGTTACTCAACATCAGACTCTCCACAATGTCTACACACTGTGATAATGTTGCTAAACATCTCGCATTAAAACAGGAAGCACAGGTACGAAGGAAACACAGTACATCCCAATGATGACACTTCCAAGGGAGACCAAAATCTAACTAATAATGCCCCTGTTCCAAAGTAGTATCAAGCAAGAGCAGGTCTTCATACTAAAAATTACGAGCTGCAGGCATAAATGCTGAGTCTGCAGAGCGTGAAGGTGCACTGACTTGCACTTGAGAATCTTTCCCTGTGTGTAGCTAACAGTGAACACGTGGCTGTTAGCACGTGGGTGTAAGTACCAGCAGCATTTGGCACAACTAGACAGTCTGCCTGTGACAGTCATCTTCATCTGATGATTTTATATAAGGCTAGAACCATTTTTCTACCTTGACAAAAAATAATGTAATTAATTAATGTAAAAATACTAATACATGAGTAAAAAAATTAAAAAACACAAAACCTCCAACCAGATTAACTTTTGCAGTTGAGAGCATGACTTCCTTCTAAAGACTATACTTTTTAGCATTGAACAACTTTAGCTACCCTGGCTTACTGTGAACTGGATCATAATAGCTTTGCAAATAAATTCTTAGAAAGTATGTAAATCAAAACCAAGGTGGTATCTTTTTCTAGATTAACTTCATTTTACTCAGCACTGTACAGATTCCAGTTAGTGTTGTGTTTAGAATTTTTTTTGTCATCTGAGCTAGTGATTGTGGAATAACTTCTTCCAGTTCTTCACACGTGCATCTTCTGAGAATCTTTAACATATAGCCTAAGTAAGGATATGTTGTGTAGAGTGAGAAACTGAGGAGTGAAAGAATCCTTACTACAGCAGTATTCAGAGATCACTAGTGTGGCTTCAGGGTATAGCAGTTGTAAGTTGTTTTTTTAGGAATCTCAGCAGAGTACAAGTATTTTGTAAATCTGGGGCTGGAGAGAGCCCTGCATTGGGCTCACAAAGAGCAACTCTGCCAGTGTTTCAGCAGAGGGACTTTTGCTATAAATGTGGTGGCTTGTGCCTTTAAAGGTGTGAGTGAAATCATAGAAATCTGTTGTCTGCTGGGACTTGGTAGTTTCAGATCTTTAAAGGGATTTTAAAAGAACTTCTTTGTAGCTAAATAATTGTTACTACTGTAATGTCACAATACCACCAAGTCAGTGTTCTAGTTACCATGTTAAAGTATTACTCTTTCTCCAATGGCTCTATTTCTTCAACTATTTTTTATGTGCTCCTACGAATACAAGGCTACTATCCAATTAGGCTACTTGGGTGTATACTTATCCTTAAACATAAGGAACAATGTTAAAATTACAGTGGCTGTGTTAATAGTTTCAGTGGTATTTGTTTGAAGCTGCATTTGAGTATCTTGTTTGAAACCAATCATGCTTCTCTCTTGCTTTTACTAATATTATACTCTGGCACTTTGCTGTATCAAATCATGTGTCATTAAGGGCTGCCACAGATAATTTTAACAATGTAAATGGACAAAACTCTTACACCCTTAAACATTGTAAATCCTGTAGTAGCCCTTTTTATATACATAATTTAACAGAGCAGAACTTGTGTAAAAATTGTGAATGCTTATGTTAAATATAGCTAGCAAAAATTTATTCTTGTTTTTTATGGTCAGTAACACCAAGTTGAATTAGAACATGAAAGAAGCCAAATGCTAACCTGCACAATAATCACTGTTTTCAGGCACCTGTTCTAGTCACACATCATTAGAGAGAAATCTGTGTTACAGTGTATAGTATATAGAAGGGGCAGTTTCTGTCCTACTGTTCGTGAGGTTTCTTGTCTGCTAGCACTGAGGGAGATGAGGGAAGCACAAAATAGCCTGCCATCAAACTGGGTGCAAAGCAGGATGTGAGTTTGAATACCAAACACTAACAGCACTGTTGCTTCGACTCCTGCTAGCATTTGAATTGTTTAGGGGTCTCAGAACTGCTATTATATTGCTTATTGCTTTTAGTCTTCAGTGTGGTGTGGGAGCAAAAGTATTCACTTCAACCTGCCAAAAGAATTTTTTAAGATTTGAATATTGTGAAATGTGGAGATTCAGGGTGTATATTTGCTATTGTCAACCTCAGAGCAACACTAATAGGCTGGAGGAACTATGGAATTTAGATGTTTGCTGAACTTTAAAAAAACTGGAATTCTTCAGTTATGCTGCCTTGTTTAATATTAGCTAGATAAATACAGATAGTACTTTTTGTCAAAGCCTAAGAAATAGGATACATCTGTAGCCTCATCTTGATGCCCCGAGTTTTCCCTGACTTTGTTTTAATGCCTCATGAGCACAGTCCCGCTTCATTCATTAAAACTGTCTCCTTTAACTTGCTTCTTCTCACTGGGCTCTTGAAGAGCTATCTGAATATGAAAATGCTAGTACATGGGAGTCAAAACATCTCAAACTAAGACCAGCAAACCACAGTGGAAGTATGTCTCTATGCAACAAATTAAGCTTAGAGGGATAGCCTTATATGCACTGACATTCATTTTTGTGCTAAAATTGTCCCCTTTTTGACTTAGACTATACTAATGAGTCTTGGAGCTTCTATTCCAGGAACATTACAGCATCCAAAACCCTACTGAACCCAAGATATTGTCTTAATGTTGCTATTAAGCTTGTAAATGAGTGACTGCAATACTAGTAGTTTATGAAGCTTTTGGACTAGATGACAATAAAATGAAGTCAGCATGAGAAAAAGGCAGTCTGGATTTTGCCTCTAATGTATTGCAAAACCTGCCAGCTTCCAGAGATTCAGTTCCATTTGTCTAGCTTGATAACTTGCTAGATATTAATAATTTAAAATGTGCTATTCCCTTAAAGCAACAGTACTGCTTTAGCACTTAGTTAAAATACCCAGTATCAGTCTCAGCACTGTAATAGATGTGCAAGTCTGTCACAAAAAACCACCCAATTTTTCTCAACTGAATGCTTGTAGCCAGATAGGTGGCTTGCAGATGAGACCTCCATTCCTTAATCAGTGCTTACTACTCAAGTTTTGTGCTGTAGGTTGCTAGATTTTAATTTGAATTAGCTGTTATACCTGTTACTTTGTCTAGCCAACATGCACATCTGCCAAACACAGTGTCTTCTGTTGTTCAGCCACCACCACTCCTGGTGCTGGTAGGTAGCTGCACATTTCTTTCACGGCAGCATCATGCATGCAAAGATCAGTCTTTAATGTAGAGGGATTGTTTCCTAAAACATTTGAGTGTTTATTTTGATGTGATGCTTTAACTAAACTGCTAGTACTAGTTATCTGTTCGCTTTAGTAAGTTTTTCATGGGACTTTGTTGCTATTGGCTGTGCAGAAATTCACAATTAAAGATATTGACCTGATGGCTAAAGAAGCTTACATTTTTCGTATTTGTCACTGACCACAGTTGTGGGGGAATATCGACTATATTCATCAAAAGCCAATTTGAACCAAGGTGGAGTTAATTGGGAGGAGGTACCATGTTGAAACTGTCTGGCTCAAAATAAATTGAAATTATTAAAAATGCTGTTGCAATAGGTATCATTTGTTAAATTATGTTGCATAAAATAGGACAGTATCATCCATGTTCGTCTAAGATGTGTGTTGCTAATAAGGTGGTTTAGATTCAAATAGAGCAAAGCTGATGTTTTTAATTCAGAAAAATTGTGTTGTTTCTTTTTTTTTTTTAATGTCGTTAGAAAATATCCTAGTTTAACTCCTGATTTTTTTGGGGTCTTGAATCTTAAAAAAAGGACCCTGGCGAAGCGGAGGAAAGTGGAACACAGGGAAAATTGGTGGAAGCGCTCAGGCAAATGAGAATTAATCATAGGGGGAACTACCGCCACCTTCTGGAAGAGATGCTGAGTAGTTACAGGCTAGCTAAGATGCAGGGAGAAGAGTGCACTGCTGAATCAGCTGCAGCATCTACTTCAGATACACATGCTGGACCCAGTGACCCCGTACCAGGCACCCACACAGAATCTGGGAATCACCTTGCTGAAATACAGAGCTCAAACGAAGATTGAGGGATGAATGAGATGAGCGATAAACAGACATAATGTTTTACATAGTGGATTTAACGCTTCGCTTCACTTGGCGTCTTTTCCTTTGTTTATATCTCAACATTTGTCACATCTCTCCTAGAAATATGTTTGTTTTTACTTTAGTTATTTGTACAGATTGTTTATACAAAGCTCTTTTTTCCTTAGAAGTTCAGCTACTATAGTACATTATAGTAATTGCATCTTATGTTGTGTAGCAAGCAGTTAACTTCTCATTTGGGATTTTGATTCTTTTTTTTAAATCCTGTGACACCAACAATAGGAATCTAACATGTTAATGCAAAAATAAATTTTAACCTTTTCTTTTAAGTGGCTTCTTAAATAATAATTTTGATGGTATACATTTGCTAATTGTAAAGTAATTCACATTTTAATCGTATCTTTTGTGCAAATTAATTGAATTATACAAATTCTTCAGACTTTTTTCCCCAGCATCATATACTGCATGTTTGTATTTGAATTGTGTATAGTTTATATTACAAACTAAATTACAAAAGCTATTACATTTTAGGTTGTCACTTATTCTTCATGAAATGTGTTTGACTTTTTTTTCCAATTTAGATTGTATCCACTGTTCATCATAAATATCTATTTTCTAGATGACTGTATTATTACTTCCCAGGTTGTAGCATAACATATATCCAGAAATGAAAATGTACTTAGATTTAGTAACTAGTGTCAAGTTCTAAGAATTTGTGTTTAAGTCAAAATAAAGAATATGCTGTGGAATAATATCTGTATGCATATGGACTCTTTTAAGCAAGTAATAAACTTCCTTTGAAATGTTATCATTCTGACATGACTTGAAACTTTTCAGAGCTTCTGATATTAACTCATGATGTTCATTAATTTCTACAAATATTTGAGTAATTTTGGGTTTGGCACATTCATCATAATCCTGTATTTGGCAACATGTCTCAGGCTCAAGTTAAACAGCCATATAAATGAAAACCTGGCTGTTCTACCTAAGTTTACCTTCTACCCAATCTTTTCCATGTCTTCTGGTGTATGATATGTATATGTACATGCATTTGGGTAGATCACTGATAATACTGGGAATTTACAGTGGTGGTAACTAATCTGCTAATAAGTTAAATCTGGAATTCTTCTGTCAGTGGTCAATTCATAATATAACACTTGCACAAAAATATCATTGTTCAAAAATAGGTACAAATTTCACTGCCTTAATGAAAAAGAGCCTGCGGGAATTTCTTGTGGACCAGGAATACCTGAAGAGCTGAGTTCCTTAGTATTTTATAGATTTTTTTTTTTTGTGGTCCGTAGACGTAGTATCTATTGATAGCTATGACTTAGTGCAATTTTAGATAATATTTGGTTTTAAGGCTTTATGCTATAATAGCTTTACTGGATTCATGTTTCGTAAAAGTAAATTCCTTCATGAAGCTGAAGAACAGAGAATGTTTGTGTATGGAAGTGAGCAGGTATGGGGGGAAAAAAAGGAAAATGTCATCTGTCTTGCACTAGTATTCTGCTTAATTATGCCACTGAAATCCAAAGTGCAACAAAATGTTTTCATTTGTACTGGTGAGTAGTAATATTTCTCCTCTTCTTTCCCTGTAGGGTGCTGGAGATCTAGAAGATCCGTGGTAGCCTTACAAATCTACTAAAATGCTTTTGATTCTGAAAGGGGGAAAAAAAAAACACAAAACTTTTAAATCTGTTTTCTTCAATACAAGGGAAATATTCTGGTGGATTTCCAACATTTTGTGAAATGGGCAGAAAGATATTAGAATTTTCCATCATTTGTTCATTTTTGTGTTCTCTGATATTGCCACTCTTAGCATTGCCTGTACTACAGTATTTTTACCAGCCTCAGGCATACTGATTACATCTGTAAAGAACTGTGGCCCTAAGAAGGAAGGAAGGAAGGAATGATTCTCTCAGCAGATCGGTGTACGTACCTCAGGTGCGTGGGATTGTAGGTGTGCTCTGAAGATACACTATGGCTAAATGAAATGTGGAACACCCAAGCATGAGAGTACAAGTCATTGTTTGAGACGTTACTTATTTCACTTTACCGAGTTGGAAGGCTTTGCAGCTCTGTGGCTTGGAAGTAATTTCAATTGGGCAATACGCTATCAGATGTGTAATTTTTTTTTGTTTTTAATTTTCCAGTTTTACCTGTATTACCAGACCGTTAGGTTTCCCTGCGGTGTCCAAATTGTGATATGTTGCCTACTGCTTGCTTGAAGATACGTGTATTTGGCAATAATATATGAAGATTCTAGGCATCTAAAAACAGTAAGAATTTTACGCATGTGTACAACACACCCTTAAACTCTTGCTAGAGAAAAATCTTTTAAAACCAAACTGATGAATTTATAGTTAGTAGTGACTTGCTTTGACATCTCTCACAGCTGCAGGTTTTTTTAAAAAATGCTGAAAATTTGCCTTTATTATAATGTAAATTGTGATTATTTTTTTGTTCTATATGTGGTTTTCTATAGTTTTTGATTTTTTTCAGCTTAAGATACAGACAAAAGTCTTGTGTAATATGGGTATAATTTTTAATTGTTTGCATTATTTTCAAATTTCAAATTATCACTTTGAGATTACTATAAATACACTTAAAATTATCTATTTTAAATTAAGAAAATATTAGAGATATTTTCATGGGTTCAATGACCTTTCATTTTATAAGCAATGGGCATGGTACAGAGTGGCTGGCATGTAAGGGACTTGAAGATTCTTAGTTTAATTCTATTTTTGCAATAACCTTGACTTTTTTTTCTGACTTCTTTGAGTTGTGCATGTAATGAGTCCAGTAAATGCTGAAAATGGGGAAGAGTAAAGTATTTATCTAAAATAAAAGCTATTGGGGAGGGGAAACAATGAATGTATCCATCTGTACATGATTTACATGCTGTGGATGCCTTGTAAACATTTTCCTATTTGTTTAAACTGTGTTTCAGCGAGGATGTAATTGCCCTTGTGTGTAGTTTTAAGCTAATGACAGTCATCAACTGGTTTTGTGTCAAATGGAATTCATGGTATTTTTCTGTAACTTTATCCCCATGGTGAGTCTGTAAAAACCACATGCTCTTTCATACTGGTGCCGAAGGCCAGCTTTCCCAATCATTTTGATTCACTGTGTATCTGATTTATTTTTTTTTTTGGTCTAGAGAAGATTATTGCCACAGTATATTTTATTTATTCATTAGATTTTAGCCTTGTAAGTTAAAGTGTTCTAAATGATGATGTTAACAGGTATTTGTCCCTTTACTGGTTTTTTTGGGGTTGTTAAAAGATAGGGAATGAAGAATGCAAAATGGTTTATTGTTCAGACTGTCCGCTCTGGTCCAACCCTGTACTGATAGTACCTTCCCAGTATGATATTGTGATGTTTCATACAATACAGTGAACATAACCAACTTGTTATCTTCAATAAAGGATTGCTAAAACAGTGTGATAATGCTTTATATTTTCTTGAGAAGGATTTATCAAGAAGATGCAAGTGTTCTGTATAAAATGATAATCAAATAGGATTGAAGAGGTGTTTCTTAGTGATGGATTTGTTTGTTCTATAGGAAACATGGCTCTCTTTTTCTCAGTAAGCCAGAAGTCTCAAAGTAGTCTTCTCTGTGGGAGATGGAAGAGCACAAACAACATGTAGAGCTCTGAGGGAAAATCCATCCCAAGTTCAGCTGGAATGAATCTTATTCCAGCTGCAGGAAAGCATTCATTTAAAGTCTAAAAATTCAGCTTAAACTTGACTTTGTAGTCAACTCCTTTCTTGAAATTTCTTCAAGATCTGAGGCTGGACTTATAAAGTTTTACTTTTGTACAGTGTTTTGGATAGAAAATTCTCTAATGTTAACACTCTTACGTTTAAACTTTCACTGATTTTCTTTTTTTAATTTATTGATGAAGTTTTTTAGCTGGAGGCGGGGGGGGTGGGGGAGGAGGACAAAGTCCTCCATGTTATTGATACTGCATGGTAGTAACCTGTCTGAATACTTAGTGTTACTGTGGAATGGGTGTATTTATGAACAACCTGTAGACTTCTGAGTCTCTTAAGCTGTTCTTTCAACTCTTTTTGTTGGACCTGCTTGGTATAGCATAACCCCTGCATGCTTTCCTTGTGAACTGCAATTTTAATACCGTGTTCCATTGGTGAGAGCTCTTGTACTCCATAGGCTCCAGTCCTATGAACACTTCTCCATGTAGCTTTTCACATCATGTGGATAGTCTTCCTGAAATAAAGGGGTTTACGCTTTTATCGTGTAGGAGTGAAGCAGGCACACAGGTTCTTCAAAGAGAAGGACCATTGCCTGCACGGCTACAACAAAATGTAAATCAAGACCTCTTTTTTTTTTCCTCTAAATTAGCACTACTTTCCAAATTCTAAACAAGTTTTTAGTTTAATCACAATATTGTTCAGATTTCAGCAGCCGGGGGCGGGGGGAACAATGTTTTTTGACTGTGTATTCTTAGTGTTAGAAGTTGGAGATGTTTGATAACATTTGTTCATATATTTTACTATGTGCCATAACCTGTCACTTTTAACATTTGTTTTAAATTTATGTTCTCTTTATTAGTTATCAGGTCGCAATATAATTTAGATATTTCTGTAGAATGCTGAGAGTGGGGAGTGTCTCTTCCACCTCAGGTCTTTCTGAAATGTCAAAGTCAGCTCGATTCTTTTCTTCTCTTTATTTTTATGACTACTTCTGTTACAGAGACAAAGTAGTCTGTGTCAGTTCTCCGATAATCTTGAGCAAAATAAAGATTTGCTTTAACTGATCCTCATTAACATGTTAAATGGAATAGGGAATAAAGAAATGGATGCAAATATAAGTGGATGTGATCCTGATCTTCTCAAAAGGTTTGTGCGAGAGCTTAACTACAGTGAGAGTCTCTTCTTAGCAGAATGGATCTTCGCGTGCTTATGTGAGCCTGTACGCAGACCTTTGCAGGACTTCCCAAATATCCATACTTTTCATGCCCCTTATGTGAACTGCTGTTGTTATGTAGGTGAAGGAGTAAAAAAGAAAGAAAAACCAAAACTGTACACTCAAAACTCAAAGTAGGTTAAGATGTCAATTCTTTTAACACATCACAGACTTAGCTATTAGTGGTTAGGTAGCTTCTTGGTATGATGTATAAAGTGGAGTTAAGTCAGCCCCTTCATCTGTGAGCTTTCTTACATTGTCAGCCATAATGACTGGCTTAAATCTTAAAAAGCAAAATTAGCTCCAGAAAACCAGTCATTCTTCTTTGGCACTTTAAAAAAGGTTTGTAGTGGAAATCAAAATCAATAAGAATTTGAGATTAGTTACAGCATTGAACCAAGCTTTAGTGGATGATTTTTTACTTCTGGAAGATGAAGCAAAAACCAACGCTGCCTGATGTTAGGTATTGGGTCTATTCTGGCAAAAAAACCACAGTGCCAAGCAGTTTTTAATCTATTAACTAATTTGAGTTCTTCTGGGCTAAAAAGTAAATTTTAGATTTAAGGATTGTTTACTGAAGGCATGTTGCTTTTAGCTCTTTATAGGTATTTTTAGCTATAAAATAAAATTGGGGAGAGGTTGCTCTACTGATGCAGGTGAGCAGCTGCATGGGATGCTCCCAGAGATGAAGGCAACTTGACAAAACCACAAGAGAGTACCCAAGTCACTGAACTCTTGCAGTATAATCCAGGTAAGTGTGCAGTTTATGCAGCTGAAACTCCACCTGGGGTTTTAGGTGTCTTTGTAACCCTTTTCTCAGTGTGCCCATCTGATCTCATCCTGCTCGTCTTTATTTGGACTGTTGCTGTGCAGACCTGACTTAGCTATATGTTGCTTTTACCATCTTATATTCCCACCTAGCTGCTTCTCTTTTGATCAACAGACAAGTACTTTTGCAATTTAGGGTTACTGTGCCTCTGTTTTGCGTTTAGCTCCCTGGTTGAGCTCATCTCTCCCTTCTGTCATTCGTTTTGTTACATGCTTAATTGGTGCTGCTGTGCTTTGCCCTTTTTTACATCTGAATGGTCATGTTCCCCCAAATACCTTATTTTTCCTTCTTCAAAAACCTTCTTAAAGCTCTCCTTTGCTGTGATGCCTGGATTTAAAGACTGATTTGGATCATCGAGAATTTCCTTCTCCATTGATGTGTACTTCCAGCTTCTGTCCTTGGCTGTCCTTATTTGTCTATATGCTGCTTGACTGGGAAATTCCAACAATAAAAGCTTTGCTGTGCTGTTACTGCAATTAGTGACTGTGAATTAACACCAACTAATGATTGCTTCAGTACCTGCTTTTAAAACTTACCAAAGACTGATAAGGATTCAAGTCATGGGGATGGGCTTCTAGAGGAAAAAAAAAAATGAAAAAAAACTTCTGTTCTCCATCAGTTTGGTAATCTTTCTGGGAAAGCAGTTGGCCTTGCTAATGAACGAAGCGAAACACTCTGTAGTAGGAGGATGCATTCTGAAGACTTGTGGCATCTAATTGAAACAGTGTTCTTGAAAATAACTTTTCTTCCCTGGTGTCAAGTCTGTTCTGGAAATAACTGTTACCCTGGGTTTCTGCTTTCTCAGACTTTGGGAATTTAAGGTGAGTTTTGGGAAAGTTGAAGCTATGTTGTAATAGTGTTTGATGTTGTCAGGACCCTGGCTTTGACCTTTAAAAAGGTGGAAACAATCCAATTCATGAACTCCCTCATGATGATCTTGGAAGTTCATCTGGTCTGTAAATACAAAAATACTGATTTTTCTGGCCTCTTCCAGGTGGCTTCTGGAGTCTGTTGGGTAGTTATGAGATGTTTTCAAACACCTATTTTTCAGAGAACTTCTGTGCGAAGTTACATCAGGAAATGACCAAACAGAATTTGCTTTTATCACTTTCAAAGAGCTGCAAAGCTTTATGTGAAAGAAATTGGACAGAAATTCATAGAATGAAAATTCTTTGTCTTGTGAGATAAAACACTACTTTCAGTAGTTAGTGTCCCGAACTTAGAAAGGTTACACAAAAATGTTTGGGTATGTTACATTCCTTGCAAGAGCATTAATTTCTCCTTGAAAAAATCCGAATTGTCTTTTTTTTTTAAAAAGAAACTGGTGAAAACACACCTCTCCTCACATGTATTCTAGCTAATTTTTTGTGGGGTGAACATGGAGTTTAGTAAATACCCTACATGTTGAAGTTAGTTGGAAACTTTGAAGTAAATGCATACATGCTAAAGTCTGATTGCATTAATGAAAAGATATTTCCCAGTATTTTTGTAAGGAAACTTATTAACACCATCCCCATCAAATCCATTTTGTGAATATTGTTTTTGTTTTGGCAGGTTACTCACTTGCAAGAACGTGGATGTCTGCTTAAGCTTGGACAAATAATCTACAGTATTTAATTTGGGTTTTTTAGGAGAAACTGGAGAATGAACTATTTTTTTTTTTTAATCCTTTATCTAATGGTCGTCTTCAGTTCATAAACACACCGTAAGTTTAACAGTGCAATAAGGATTTTGGCCTGGGTATGTAAAGCAGGTGTGGTTTTTTTCTAGTTTGTTTAATAATGTTTCAGTTTGGGGAGCAGAGAATGTGTGAAATCAAACCAAAATACTTTTTCCAGCTCTCCTAAATCTACACTTAATTTCATAGGATATAGTTGTAGGAAGTAGTCTGCTAACGCCAACAATGTGATTGATTTACAACTTCTCAGTCTCTACGTTTAGTCATGGGAACTTTTTTAATTGTACTAGGTGACAAATTTTAAAATGGTGAAATATATTTTACATTCATCTCTTCATTCCTACTCATCCTCACCTTAAAAACATTTAGCGAGTTCCCTGCTGTTGCTTCAGAGATTAAAATTACTGCATTTAACTTCCCACTCAACTTATTAGAGGGGAAAAACCCCAGAGATCCAAGTGGGTAACCGCAGCAACTTATTTTATATGCTGTTACTGTATTTCAAGTGCTACTTCAAATGAAACTGAAAAGTTTCTCTTGTAGATATAACTTCTAATACAGCCTTAGTAGCTCCTGTGCTTTGAACTGCATTAAATAAAAGCCTTTAGATGAAATTAAGGAAAAGGAGGAAAATGTACAAGATGACTATTGTATTACCAGTGACTTAAAGATGTTGTACACCTGTCTTTCTATTCAGCCTTCAGTACTCAAATATTTGGAAGATCTGTCTGCAATGCCAACTGGTTTTGTTCTGGGTGGATAAAAGTCCCCCTGTACTTGGTACTAGGAGACCCCTAAAGAGCGCAGCGGAGCGAAAAACATGAGATCTGTGAGAGAGTGCATCATCTAATGAAGGCCAGACACTTGTCTTAATTATCCTCCAGGCGGAGGGGAGTGGGTATGTGTGACAGTTGTCACTCCACTGTTTGAGTGACAAGGGCGGGGGGATTTGACTGCACTATGTGAAGACTTGCTGAATGTGGGATTATGTTTTTCTCTGGTTCACCAGTATAGACAAGCCGGGTGCCTGAAACTATTCTATGGAGATAGGTGATGTGAGAGATGGCGCCTGAAAAGCCCACACAGTTCAGTGGATTCAGTAAGTTCAAAATGGAAAGGCTGGTACTGACTGCATGCGATGCTTGCTTCGCCTGTCACCAAGCAACGCTTGCACCCTGATAACAGGATCCTGGGTGCCAGGCGATTTCTGAAATAAAACTCTGGTTTAGGTGGTGTTTAGAAGTTAGTACTTAAAATTAGTTTTCTAGTGGTTCTAACTCTGGAATTAAAGGCAATCCTTACTTTCCATGTCTCTGTATGTTCAAGTAAATAAGAAATTTAAGATTAAGTTCTGTTACATGAACCACTCAGTGTGGACATAAGTATCTTTGGAAATGGCTGCTTACAGTTGTGAAACGTTTCCTTGATGCGGAGATCCAGTTTGTGCTGGCCAGAGCCCCTTCCTTGAATCTAGACCCTTGTATGCGCTAGCTCTTGCTGTGCAGCATGTGAGGTCAGTCCACCTGAACCTGAGAATTGGTTTTTTGGTTGGGTTAGGGTTTTCTTACAGAAATGTGTACTTCCAATTCTTTGGATTCACTCCTAATCACATTGATTTTTACACGCTTGCTTGCCTTCCTGTTGCTGGACTGTTATGGTCTGACGTGGAATCAATGAACTGTTGGTCACAAACAGCCATTGCAAAAGCCTTGGGATGCAGTTCAGTACTACAGAGTGAAGCGTTCTCTACAAAGACGGGAGATTTCTGATCTGAACTGAGCTCTTTCAGCAAAAAAAATTATTTCAGGGGAGCGCGACCTGAGTAGGTTTGATCATGAAATGCCTGCCACCAATTTGATACATGTGAAAAAGCAAATGAGTTGCAGGAAGGCTTATCTAGATAGAGGCAGGGAAGGAGTAAACTTACTGTTGCAAGCTCTGGAGAAGCTCAGTGCTATTTGTAACTGTGATACTACGTGTGTAATTAATCATAGAATCGTAGAATGGTTTGGGTTGGAAGGGACCTCAAAGATCATCTAGTTCCAACCCCCCTGCCATGGGCAGGGACACCCTCCACTAGACCACGTTGCCCAAAGCCGCATCCAATCTGGCCTTGAACACTTCCAGGGATGGGGCCTCCACAACCTCTCTGGGCAACCTGTTCCAGTGCCTCACCACCCTCACAGTAAAGAATTTCTTTCTAACATCTAATCTAAATGGACCCTCCTTCAGCTTAAACCCATTACCCCTTGTCCTGTCACTACACTCCCTCATAAACAGTCCCTCACCATCTTTCCTGTAGGCCCCCTCCAGGTACTGGTAAGCCGCAATTAGATCTCCCCAGAGCCTTCTTTCCTCCAGGCTGAACAATCCCAACTCTCTCAGCCTGTCCC